CGAAAACAAAGGTGACAGTCAGAACACTGTCCTCTCTGTTGGACATGAAAATGTTGTGCAATACATCGAGGGCACACGACCTTGGGAGGGGAAAAACAACTGTGCTAATTACCGTCCCCAAAATCATATAAAAGGGGCTCGAGAAGCCGTCTAAAAGTCAACAGGGAACGCCACAACGAATTGCGTCTATCATGCTGATCCTCCTTCTCCTCTCTTCGGTTGCAGTAGTTAGTCTGGGAACAGTGGCGGAAGGTAAGCGTTCATTACAAAAATATGTTTATCCTTAAACTTAACCATATCCTGAAATATTTTCCCACAGCTAATGAGCATAAAATTGAGTGATGGATTTTATGGTGGTGGATTTTATGTAGGAAATGATTAGCGGAAGCTTGCAGTGTACTTGTTATCTTCTAAAATATCTGACTGTTTATGGCTTATCAAAATAACCGTTCTTTTAATATCTTCGAAACAGACTGCAAATAAAGCACTTCTATGATATTACTCCGAGAAAAGTTTTATAAGAAAGCGCATATCACGATTTCACTAATACCTATTTGTATTGCTCGTTTTGGCTGTACTTCAAAAGGTTCAGAATAATTTTTTTAGAACATTGTGGTACAAACTCGTGTTTTATGTATCAATTATTTGGTCAAATTATTTCTACAGGCCCAAGGCGCCATCCACACCGACTCAATATATGTCGCATTTCTGACTCAACAATGTATTTTTGAAGTCGGTTTACGCCCTTAAATAGCTGAGACCAAGAATGCTGTCTTTCATGACCAGTGGTATTAGTATGGTTGTGGTTCTAGTTTACTATTACTCTAATTTTACGTTCGTTTTGTATTTTTGTTTGTTATAACTTAATTTATGGAATTTAGTAAAGTAAAAGTAATAAAACTAAAAGTAACTAAAAGACAAGAGGCTAGGGATATCACAGTTTGCAGATGAGCTTTACTTTTACTGTAGTTTAATATGAATCAACATCCGAAAGCTAGCTAATAGGGCGATATCAAAGTAAACTACGCTTTTGTTTTAGCGCTGTAATTCTAAAGATCTTGTTTGCTTATAGCGGCAGAGAGCGTATGCAACCTGCCCCTGGATAAGGGAGAACAAAGCGTCGACTGGGGGGCAAAATATGGCTACAACCCTGATGAAAAGATCTGCGAACTTTTCAACTATGGTGGAAAGGGTGGTAATGCCAACAGATTTGAGACAATGGAGGAATGTGAAAAAGCATCTAGACTTTGTTTCAAGAGACGTATGTGAACGAGCTTATCCTTCCCCTTTTATATGTATATTATTATGCTTACCGGGAATTATGTCTTGTGAGACCGGTGGCATTAGTATGGCTCTTTTTGTAGTTTATTCTTATTCTAATTTTAGCCTTCGTTTAATTTCGTTTTGTATTTTTGATTGTTTTGGCTAAATTTACTTAGTTTAGTAAAGTAAAACGAGTAAAACTAAAAGTCACCAAAAAACGAGAGGCTACGGTTATCAACGTTTGCAGACGAGCTTCACTGTTACTATCTTTTAATATGAATCAACATCAATAAGGGTGCATAATACTTGTTAGGCGAAAGCATCTTCTTCGATCTCACGAGTCAGCTTTTCATCCCCAGACCCAGCTTGTGTTATACCCAAGCTTCAAACGAGCGACCTCTCTGATGATAGTCATATTCTCAAGGCATTAAGCTATTAGCTCGCTCTCTCGCTGCTATTTTATCAGGGATGTATGTCGGCGGATACACGTAACTGAATTTATAAGAGGACACACTCCACCGTCATTACGATGGTCAATAAGCCACAAATAGCCATCCTGGTCTCCCTCGTATTTGCCGGTAATGTCTTTCAGCCTTTGTCCTTAGCTGCCCCTAATGCCACCTAGGATCTGATTTGATTCCACTCGTGGGCATCGAAAATCCAGCTAATAGGGTTATGTTAAAGTAGATTAAACTTTTGTGTTAGTGCTGTAATTCCAAAGATCTTGTTTGCTTATAGCGCCAGAGAACGTATGCAACCTGCCCCTGGATAAGGGAGAACAAAGCGTCGACTGGGGGGCGCAATATGGCTACAACCCTGATGAAAAGATCTGCGAAACTTTCAACTATGGTGGAAAGGGTGGTAATGCCAACAGATTTGAGTCGAGGACGGAATGTGAAGAAGCAACTAAGCACTGTCCCCAGAGAGGTAGGTCAAAGAGCTTTTTCTTCTTTTCCTATTATTAGGCTTACCAGCAAAGGGGCGTCAGCAGGCGTCAGCAGGTTCAATTACACGACTAAAGTGTAGCCGGTGAAATTGCCAACACACTTCGGTTTCGAAGCTGCGTTTCTCCATCTAGGGGCAAACGTTCTAACCATCGTGCCATTGGGCCAAATATTTGCCGGTTGTTGGTCGGGGATATAGGTTAGTAAACATGTGCAAGATCTGCAGCCGCCAATGACAGCTGAAAGGCATCAAATACCAGGGCAGGTTTATCCTGTATATAGTCGGCGTACACACATGTACTAACATATATATATATATATATTCACTCAGAAATGTGCGAACACCGATCATATAG